GTTAGCTGCTACGTCCTGAGTGAACAGGGAGAACTGAACTAGCGCTTATTTACTAGCTTATATGTCATTGTATTTTTTAATTTACCTTGATATTGCGTCTTCAGATTAGATGGGGAATTTTTGAAGGCCATAATTATAAATCCCTAGGGAGGCTTTTTTTTATAGGCTATGCTTGATCGTTCAAATCGTCCAATGAGGAGCCAGCTTCCCAAACCCTGACAGAGCTACCTATCATTACGTTTACATTTCAGTGACGAGTAACGATTCAGCCCGTGAAACATCGATCGGAGTAGAAGTATTGAAATATTCAAAAATATGTAGTGGAGTAAAAGTAAAAGTAGGGGAAAAAATATCTACTCCAATTAAGTACAGATACTGCATTTTGGTACTTAAGCACAGTACTTAAGTAGTTCTACTTCGTTACTGAACATCTCTGGAGAGAACAGAGGGTCAGACCTCCCTCCCCCCCGTCCAGCCCGGACCCGGAGCGGCGCCCCATTTCCTCACCGGTCAGCGTGAAGATCCCGACTAGCTGGTTAATGTTGCGTCCGGCCAGGAGGGTGATCTCCATCCCGTCTCCCGAGCACTTTTTCTCCTCCTTCCGGGAGCGCATGGAGGCCCAGATGCCGGTGCCCAGGATCATCAGGTAGAACACGGCCATCACGGCCAGACCTGGGATATTCAGAACCATTCTCAACTACGTTAGCGTCCTGTTGAGAGACAGAATGAAACAGGATGTCAGGCCTCAGTCCACCGAGAGACGGACACAGAAACAATAGCTGTTTTGTGCACAGGTTCATTTAAGGAACGCAAATCACAGATTATTCACATTTTGGTGGAAAAACACTTCTAGGGCTGTGGGGTAAGCGGGCAAAAAAGGGGGAAATTTTTACCAAAAAGTCCAAGTGCAAACTAAAGTAGATTCTGACACAATTCTACATTCGCAGTCTGCTGAAAGCTATCGAGAGCAAAAAGGTAAACAACGGACAGAAAAACAGGATGGATTCAAACGGATATAAAAGAAGTTTGTGCGGGGTGGAAAAGAAATTCTGGATGTTTTCTTACAGAGAGAGAGAGAGAATGGAAAGCTACACAGGCAAAAAAAAAAAAGAAAAAAAAAGAGGAGCAGCAGCATCTCAAGATGACGTGGCTCTGCTTGGCTGGCAGACGAGGAGATGGGTTAAGAAAAAGGCGACACGGTAGGGGTGGATGAAAGGGGAAAAAAAAAACAAAAAAACAAAGGCAAAAAGGTGGGGGAGGGATGAGGAGTTGAAAGGGGTCTCACCATAATACTTGGCGGCATTGACAAAGATGGTGGACAGATGTTGTCCCCCGTCTTCAGTGGTTGGGCGGCCCTAGTTCGGACCCCAAACATCGGGAAGTGAACACATCTCAAAGCCACGTTAGTACGTACACATGTGTGCCTGATACTCTGTAACCGTGCAGTGGACTGGTTAACAAAAAAAAAAAGGCTAAAAGGCCTTCGGATCTGTTAAAATCCACCAGAGTGACGTGGTTTGAATCCGTGACCGGGGAGGGACACGGGCCCGGGGGGGGCTCGGCATGGAGAACATCACAAAATGTCATCTTTTACTCAGATCTGCGCGTGTCATGCATGCAGGTCCACTTATTCCACAGGGAGGCAGTTTCATATGAAAACACTTTATTATGGACAGATCGCATCAGCATCAGCCACTTTCGTTAAAAACAAAAAGAAAGAAAGAAAATATAGAGTCTCTCCAGGTATTGCGAAACCAAACCGGCTCAAATCAGAAAACTTAATGAAAGAGGGATAAATTTGTTTCGACTTGGGGGGGGGATTAGGAGGGAAAGGGAGGAGTGTTTTGGAAAAGAAAGACCAAAAGATGATGGGCCAGAGCCTGTGTAAACAGAGTTGGGGGGGGAAGGAGTGGCTCCACAGAAACCTGAAAAGCACACAGAGGCCGCTGTGTTTTCCCGAGGTCTGTGAATGCATCGGTGTGTGCTGTGTGCACATGGCGGACTTCCTACAGCTCCCTGAACCGGAAGGTTTGACACGTTACAGCTAATGGACTGCGAACGGGGCTGTTGTCTGTGGACTTTTAAAGACAAAACCTCATCTCACCGAGCAGGTTTTCAGCTACTTTCCTGCCCTTTTTGTTTTTTAGAAGAAGCAACTCTCTGGAACTCTTTTTTAATTAAAAAAATATACATATATTTGAGTTTATTCAAGGCAAAAGTTTACATCAAAATGATTCCTATCTGAGCATTTTAGGCCGAGTCTCTGTCTCTATCATTTGCAGGAGGCAGTGACTCCTGGTATAAAGACTATTTTGGGGCGCCCCCCCCGCTCTGTAACAGTACGCGGAACATTTCACAGACCAGTGTCGGGCATTGAGTCCTCTTTTCAGATGTACAGTGTATGACTACTGACCTACTTTAGCGATTGTGGAGGGGGGGGGGGGTCCTGTCTTTCCTTGTCTGATTTGCCCTCCACACAACCGGAATCAATTGTTTTTTTTACCCCTTTTTGAATCTAAATGGATGCGGAGGGGCTTCTTATGTTACCACCTCCTGCTGAGAGCCGGCAGTCAGAGAAGAGGAAGGGAAGAAAATTATTATTTTTATTTGAAGGATCTGAACCCAAACTGGTCACGCTGAGTTTGATTTGGCCACGCTGTGGATTCTGCAAATGTTTAAGATCTGGGCACAACACAAGCCCGTTTCTCCCCGGTTTTGCTTCAGCGAGCTCAGCGACTTGTTGTTTGAAAACTCTGCCAAGTTCAGATTCACCACACGTGTTGGGTGTTGTGAAAAGGTCTGATGAAGCCCGACAGGCTCCCCGCTGACAGCGCTCCAACTGGCTGCCGTTCAGGCGGATAAAGCCGTGATTAATTGTTTACAAAAAGCCGCCTGACAGGTGTAATCCACTTAAATCCACCTCGAAGTTCACAGATAAACATTAAGCGGAGTTCGAGTGACACAAAACTAGCTAATCAGTCGTTTAAACGAGGCTGATTAGCTCAGCTTACTTACTTATCTCTTTATATGTGCTCAAAATGTTCCAGATCTAAATCAAAGAAACATTAATTAAGGATTTTCTTCTATTTTTCCCATCCTGAGTTTCTATTTGACAGGAGTAAAACAACCCATGTCTATAAACTCTGAAGGTATGCAAATACAAAAGGGAGGGAAGAAAGATGCTGATCCATAGATACAAATCCAGCCATTTTTTCACTTCCTGACTCACTTTTCTGCTCTGAATGCTCACAGCCAGCTGATAAGAGCACATATTTACATCTACATACATCCAATATATGCTGAGAGGTGACAAAGTTAGCACGAATTGGGCTCAAGCGCCGCCATTTTCACGCTAAACTTTTAAAACTTCAGAATTAGTCAAATGCAGCAGGTAAAAGTCGGCCTGAGGCCTTGTCCTGCATCACCTAAAACAAGCAGGGGGGGTCAGGGATGGGAGCCCCGCCCTCTGGGAGGCGTGGCCGGTTCACGTGGAGCGCCACATGAGGCCACGCCCCCGAGTCCAGATCGGCCTCGGGCTGACACATCTAAGGCTCCCAGGCCATCGTCTCAGGGCATTATCAGACCAAAAAGCCCTTTTTAACAGTGATAAAACCATCTGTCTGGTGGTCTGCTATGGGATCCCTGGTGGGTTCCCACAACAGACTCTGAAATTTACAGGAAATCAAACTCTCACCAACATGAAATCATTTGTCATCTGTTCCAAAAGGGATTAAAGTAAGTTCAAAGTGAATTTGTCATAATAGAGATGCACTAATCCTCAGTGACTCAGCTCCGAATTAATGCTGTCTCAGCTCAAATCCCTGTAAATTCCCCCTTTTGTTAAGGAAAGTACTGAAAAAAACATTTAACTTCACCTTCTTAACGAGCTCAGGCTCAAAGCAGCATCATGTTACACTGAAGTTCAAAGGTTTCACTGAGTTCAACTCTAAAAAAACAAATAACTAACATTTTGAGGAACATTTTCAGACATTTTGATTAAAGAGGAAATAAATGGGACATATTCACGTCATTCGACTGATTATTATGTTTTGAGGAACATTTTCAGACATATGAATTAAAGAGGAAATAAATGGGACATATTCACGTCATTCGACTGATTATTACGTTACCAATTACAGTTTTATCCTCATTATCATCACTTCATTAGCGTTTGATTTCTCATCCAGTGCTCAGACAGAAGCGTTTTTTTTCTCTCTTTCATCAGAATCTTAAAGACATTTTAAGACTCAGAAAGGTGACTGAATGCGTGTTGGTTTGGGGTTTTTCCACACGTGGCCCGTTTCTGCTCTGACTCATTCTTCTGTTCAGCTTTCATTCTCCGATCTTGACGGCTCATAAACAACCACCTGTCGGATTTCCCTTTAAACTCCACTCAAAAAACCAGAATGTCCCCTTCAGCAGAACAACAACCTGAACGCATGTAACGTTGACGGCTGAAATGCAGATAACAGCCGCAGGAATCCCGTCTCTTTGTCTGAAGGAAACTCAGTAAGTGGATGTGTTTTTTTTTCTCTGTTTGGAGATTCCTGGCGCCGTCATGCAGGTGCGGAGCTCTGTGATCGGCCTACCGTCTCCCTGCCTCTCAGTACTTTTCCATTCACTCCCCTGCCGGCTCCTCCGCCCCCCCGCCGAGCGATGCTATCACCGGAGGAGGCGGGACGCCAGCCGAAAAACTGCAGGCTCATCTGACCGACTCGTCTAAAGTGGACCGTATCTTTAAAAAATGAAAATGAGCTGAAGCCAGACCCTGCTCTCGGCCCTCGTTTCGTGACAGAAATTCGACTTGTGCCTCTATTTTCCCACCATACTGTGAAAATAGGGGCAAAATAGGAGGGCAGGCACGTCTCCTGAGGTACTTTTTTGACCCTATATGAGCAATAACTGGAGCCCGAGGCACATGCCGTTCCTTTTGGAGGCCCTGGAAGTCTCAATAGATAAACTACAAGGAAACCAACCCGGTGACAAGTCGTTAGATTTGTAATTTGAACAGTAATTTGCTTCCTTTTCTGAGCACTGGCTGAGTCACAGCTCATGTTGGCAGGTTGGGGATTTTTTTTGTAAGATCTCCGGTCCTCTTTGGGTCGTCATCCTGCAGGTTTTTGGGGAGTTTTCCTGACTTTTGCACAGGCCTGCTTACGGCTAATCGATGGGAATCAGGTGCCTGGAAACAGAAAATACCCCCAAAACCTGCAGGACGGCGGCCCAAAACTGGACCGGAGTTCGACACCCCCTGGTTTAAGATTTATGGAGGTTATCTGATCAGAAAGAAGAAGAAAACGCAGGCTGATAGTGAGGAGGTAAAAAACAATCACACAGGGAGGGATTTCAGTCATTGACAAAACATCATAACTGAGAAACAAATCACATTAGACTCTTAACACACAGGATTTTAAACAAACATCTCTTTTCAGTCCTTAAAATGTACAAAAAAATCAAATAAATAGACAGAGCAGTCTGACCTTAATCTCAGTCCCTTCTGAATTCTCCTTTTGGTGATATATTTATCAGTGGAAATTTACAGTTTACAGAGCAGATACTGACAACAAAGATAGGTAGCCATGGTCAAACGACCCAGAAGAGGAATTTTTAGCTCCATTACTCCTCGGAGCTATTTCTAGGACAGGCATGCACTCTCACTTAGTGTGTCCC